TCCCTACTCCAAGAAGACTTGTCATTACAATATGCCAACGAGTATGCCTGCCTTGTGGGTGGCTAGTTACTAGAGGAGAGAAATGACTGATGAAAAATTGCCAACCTAGTAACTGACTGGTAGCATTTAATGAAGAACTAAGATCTACACTTTCCTGCCAGTTTTTAAAATGTACTCTTACATATCCATTATGAAGGCAAGGAAAATAAATGGGGCAATTGAGTCATTCCCTTTCTTACAGTCTTGCTTAGGTATTCCAAGCATAAGGGGCTCAGAGTATGACAATTACTACCTCTAAGGTACATGCAGTCCCAGTGGTGGGGGATCTGTTAGAGACTATTCCAAAAGTGAGGGAAACTATTATTGATAAATCTTTGTCATCTACTCTTCCCTGCTACCTTCTTGAGTTTACCTTTTAGTAATAACTTTATTATTGGGGGAAAATTTCTTAGTAAGTTTAATACCAAGGGGAAAAGAACAGAGCGGGAAAACCCTTATTAAGTAGGTATCAAGCATCTTGATAAATGGAAACATTTATATTTACAGTAATATAAATAAGTTGAGCTCCCATCAGACTGGACCCTCTTTTGTTAGGTAACATAAGAGGCAGGTCTTTTCTTAAAAAGCTGACAGTCTAAATAGACCTGGCAAAGCCTAGAAGAAAGTATTATTATAAAGATAGGAAACTAAGGTACAAAGTAATTAAATGACAGGAAGTCTGTGGAAGAACTGGAAAATAAATCCAGATCTCTGAAATGTCAATCCAGTACCTTAACTATAATATCCATTATCTTCTAACAGCATGATGTAAGGCCAGGGCTTCTTAACCTTTATCCTTCGGAAGCCCACCTAGTGTGCTATAAAAATTCCATGGCCCACCCATGCCACAGCTGTTTTGCAGTAGCTTAAAAGCCAGGTCTGATGGAGTAGTAAGCAGAGCAATTACCCAGAGCCAGCGGTAGTGGAGCCCCTTATGCCTGAGGCCCCAGGCAAACCAGAGCGGGCTGAGAGCAGCCTCCCGGCCTGCGTCCCCACCCCGCAGGCCACCTGCCCAGGGCAGGTGGAGGGTTTGTGGCTCCCCACAGCTCTCTGCGTGGCCCTCTCCAACCCCGCTATGGCTGGAGGACAGGGCTTTGGAGCCACACCCTGGCCATGGTAAGAGCTGGGGAGCTGCAACACAAACCCTCCACCTGCCCTGGGTCGGGGGGCCAGGGGCTGCTGTCAGCCCCACCCTGCGCAGGTGGAGGGTCCGCAGCACAGCACCACATGCTGCCTGGGCTCCCCAGCCAGGCTCCAGCTGCCAGCCTGGGTGGGCGTGACAGGGAGGCCTGTGGCCCACCCCGTTCTGGTGCCCTTGCCCAGGGCCTCACGCCCCATCAGGCCCACAAAGCTAAGCTGCTCGGGCTTCAGCCCTGAGCAGCAGGGCTCAGGATTCGGCTTTCTGCCCTGGCCCCCAGTGGGTCTAATACTGGCCCTGCTCTCTGGTTTACTTTGGCGGCCCCCTGAAACCTGCTTGAGAACCACTGTTCTAAGGGACAGTAGATAACTGACTATTACCGGTAGTAATGTTTCTTTATTTTTTCCATGAACAAGTCTCTCACTTTGTTAAATTCAATAGTAGTAAAAAAGTTATGTAAACATAGTTATGAAATAAAGTTATTAGTCTCTTAACCAAACTTAAGCTATCTGTTTTATGGTTTGGGGCTAGTATGGAAAAGGTGCTAATCAGCAAGTAAAAGAAGACCATCAGAATAATAGATAATATTTACAGTGTGGGAAAGATGTACAATTCAAAAAGTACTTGATAAAATGAAAAGCTAGAATAGTAAGACAAAGGAAAACTGTCTTAAAAGATACAAGCATACATAAACTTTGACTGTTCTGCTGATAAGCAAGGAGGGGGGGAGGAGGTAAGAAAGGAAGGCCTTGGAGGAAGGAAGTGACCAGGATATCTGCTTCAAACGGGATTTTTGCTAAAACCAGAAAGTTAGCTGAAGTGTATAAAGAGAGCCAGGAATCAAAAGGTTGTCAGACACTACCTGATCGTGTTGGAACATGCCATGATGAGAGGGTTTTCCCTAGGTCTGGCCTATTTGTAAGTATACTGATGACATGCTTATGAATACTTTGTCATCAAACTCTAGCAAACCAATGCAAGAAACTTCACAGTCCAAGAACCACTTGTTGAAAACATCCTGCCTAAAAAAGAGTCTGCATCAATGGGAGCAAAGAACAGCAAAGAAGCCTGGAGAAAACAGGAACTACCCCTCATCAGTGGTGAGATAAAATGGTAGGAACAATGGTCCCTGCAGGATCTGGGACTGATCCATGTATTGTAGTATATGAAAAAAAGAACAGGAGTACTTGTGGCACCTTAGGTGCCACAAGTACTCCTGTTCTTTTTGCGGATACAGACTAACACGGCTGCTACTCTGAAACCTGTTAGTATATGAAAGTGCATTTTGAATTCAGAAGCCTGTAACAATTGGATCAGTTAGATCGGGGTGGCCAAACTACGGCCCTGGAGCCGCTGCCGGGGAGCAGGGTCCAGGGCTTGCCCTGCTCTGCATATCCCCCCCCTCCACCTCCTACACATAGGGGCAGCCGGGGGTCTCTGCACACTGCCCCCACCCCAAGCACGGCCCCCACAGCTCCCATTGGCCAGGAACCACAGCCAATGGGAGCTGCAGTGGCAGCACCTGCAGATGGGGCAATGCACAGAGCCACCTGGCCATGAGGTATGTGCTGCCTGGGGCCTACATCCCTGTCCCACTCCCGGACCCCAACCCCCCGCCCCAGTCCTCCAAACTGTGGTCCCAGCCTGGAGCACCCTCCTGCACCCCCAGTCCCACCCCAGGCTCCTCACCTCAACTGCCTGCCCCAGCCCAGAGCCCCTCTTGCACCCTGAACTCATTTCGAGCCCAATCCCTGAGCTGGAACCCTCACCCTCTCCCACACTCAACCCCCAATTTCATTAGCATTCATGGCCTGCCATACAATTTCCATACCCAGATGTGGCTCTCAGACCAAAAAGTTTGCCCACCCTGAGTTAGATTAACCTTTGCAGAAATTGAAAACTTTAGTAATTAGATTTCCTAACTGGATGCCAAGGCTAAAATATATATTTACTGGCTTCCAGCAGAACATCAATTCCAATCAACAACCTATATCAATGTACTTGGATACATTGATAAAGTGATTAAAAATATCCTTTCACATTAATCTTGTCTAAATACCAGAATTGCCTACAGCTGATGTGGAAATTGGTGTGATTTTTATATTCACTTAAAACAGTGTAAAGTGGACGGTTCTTTCAGCACTCAAACTGACATCTGTATAGTGTTATGCACTCCCAGTTCATACCATCAAACAATGGAAAATATAGTTCAAGCTGCTGAAGCTGCCATCCAAGACTACAAAGAAATAAGACAATTTAGTTGGTTGGAGACAAATTAAAAAATGGGAATTTCTCACTGCAATCATCTTAAGTGTCTGACAGGGACCTTAGGCATCTTTTTTTAAACCTGGGTGCAAAAGTCACACCTAACAGTCTTAACAATTGCGGAAATTTAAAAATGCTCCTGAAACTACTGTTTGTCACCACTGGGTCACTGACAGGAAAAGATACAAAAAAAATACTGATAGCACTAATCTTATAAAAGCAATTGAAGGAGATTTTAGAGGGACTGCATGGCTTAATAGCCTGATGGGGGTACTATTGCAGTGTTACTTAAATTAGGGCATAATGGTTGCGTCTTCAGCACACTGCCCCCACCCCAAGCACCACAGAAGGACAAAGTGAAAAATTAACAGAAAGGTACAGAATATTTCCATTATATAGCTGTTGTAGCTGATACTAAATACAGAGGTCATAGGATGGGCTCAGAGATAAAATGAGGTGATACAATGTAATCTTGCTTGCCTTCCTTATTTTCTACCTACCCTATAACACAAGATGCAGATTTCTAATATCAAGCTGTTTGCAAAGAAGCCCGGTAACAGTCTGTTGCATCAAAATGGTGGAAAGCTCTGAAAGTGAAAATAGGAAAGCTGAAATCGGAATTGGATTCATTTTTAAAGCCCTGCCCTACGGCCGAGCTCACTGCGTATCAGTCCAGCATGGTTTTAGTACAGCCTTTGGATAAGTCTAGTCAAAACTTCCCGAGGAGGTGAGGTGCTGACAAAGCAAATAGGGCCCTCCTATCGGAGCTAGGACGGCAGATGCAGGCGACCCCAGGAACTTCTATCGACTTCAGTGGGACTCAAAAGGAAAAAGCCAAAGGACGCTCCCCTGTGAATCGCTTTGCAGACTTAAATGGGGGAAACCCAGCGTCTCAGTGCCTCTGAAGACGCAACCATTAGTTTAGCTCCTCTCCTGTCAGCGCTGAGTAGGCAGAGTCTTAGTGGGTCGGTCTAACGTCGTAACAAACGGACACGTCAGTGCGCTCAGCTTAACCCCACCAAGCGCCTCTCGCTAGGTTGGCGAAAGGAACCTAGTAGCGGGGGAACAGATCTGCTCCCGGAGCGAACCGAGCCTTGTTTCCATGCCGCGGTGGGTATACCAGGAAGTGTTTGGTGCTTTCCGGAGCGAGCGCAGGGCCCTCCTCGCTCCTCTGGGGAGCGCCACTCCCATGAACCACGGGGTACGGAAGGATCAGGGCCGGGCCCGTCCTCTGGCACTGCCGGGCACGAACTGCACCCTACGCCTACCGCAGCAACACGCCTCAGAGGAGGTGGGACGGACTCCCGAAGATGACGCGGGACGCAGCCCGCTGTTTACCTTATCACAGCTGTAGGGCGGGCGGACCCTTGCAACCCGAACACTATCGGGGGCCGCTACTGGCTGCTCCGCCCTAGAGCGCCGGAAGCACGCGCGGGCCGAGGACGAGGCACGCGCTGCTGGGCTCCGGCGCCGGCCGTTGTGAGGTCATAACGCACTGGAGTGGCCGGAGGCTCCGCCCTACCCTAGCGTTGGTGTTACAGACACTGCCTGCCGCTCTCACCTCCCTCCTCGTCCCCGCCGCTGTCTCCGCCCCCCCCCCCACAGGCGAGGCAGGGGCCGGGCCGGCCGCGGCGGCTCTGTAAGGGAACAGCCGGGCCGGGAGGAGGGAGCGGCAGAGACGCCCCCCGCCCTGCGGCTCGGTATCGGGCGGGGAGCGGAGCGTGGCAGTTGAACCATCCGCGGTGAATGAGTGACGCCGGCCGCGGGCCGGGCTGGGGGGGCGGGGAAGGCTGACAGCGATCCCTTCCCACCCCGGGGGACCGGACGGGGCCGGCGGGCGGCGCCGAGCGGAGAAGACGGCTCCCCAGCGCAGTCGGTCCGTCACCACGCCTGAGCCGCGCAGCTACCGCCTCAGCCCCGTTGGAGCCTGGGGGGCCGGCAGCGGCCCGGCCCCTCGGCATGTCCGCAGCTGCCCGAGTGTCCGTAGCGCCCCCGGAGCAGCAGGTTGGGGGGGCAGAGACTGGTGGGGGCTCGGGACAGACTCGCTCCCGGGAGTTGGAGGAGACGGGACAGGAGCTGCCGGAGCCCAGCCAGGTGTTGCCGCAGGTGGATGAAACCGGGGAGAGCAGCGGTAGCCGAGAGGCGGAGCCCCCAGGGCAGGTCGAGAAACGGCGGCAGGTGGTGGAGGCCCCCCTGCCTAAGGAAAACCCCTGGATCAGGAGAAAACCTATTCCCAACAGCCCGTCCCCGGCAGCAGCGGACACCCAGCTCGTCCTGCAGAACTCAGGTGTGGGGCGGGGGGAAGGGAGCCGGGCGGGGTTGGGGAAGACGAGCTGGGAGAGCCGCTCCCAGCGTCCGATGGGAAAATAGTTTCGCTGCCGCTGGCTGAATCTGTCAGGGTTGGGAACTTGTTTTTTTTTAAACACACTGTCCCTTTGCTGTACAGCGTAGCAGCGGTTGCCTTAAATCGCCGGCGCCTCGGCGTGTGTCAGGCCAAGGTATTTGTTTCCAAGAGTCGTCGACGCGTTCACACACACTCATTTTACATGCATGGACAGATTAGGAAACTGAGCGTGGAGAGGTGTGGTCTGTCCCCGTCCTTTTACTGTGGGCAGGGAGGGAGGTGGGTATTTAAGAGAGTGGATTTGTAGTCGTATTACAGTTTCCTGGGCCGAACAACCAAATTGAAGTTTAAAACAGGATGATGTCTTTTTATTCCTGAGTTTATGCAAACCATGTGGGTGACTGCGTGAGTGAACTCAAGTGGTTTGCCCGTAATTTAATCCTGTTCTGACTGTTTGAAACCTTTAATATTCAATTTCTTCGAGCTTTAGTTTCTCTTTTGCAAATTCCCAAACTCTGGAGGCTCTTTGTTTAGAAATTTTAGTGGTTCCAAAATCAGTGCTAAGTATTTTAAACGAAATAAGTTTGGAAGGATATTACCCATAATTACTTGTAACGCATAAATTTCTTAATAAATTGTTAGATTTTAAACTAGACACCGATATTTACTCTGGTTATTAAGTATTTTTGCAGTGAATGAAAAGTTACTTAGAAAAGAGTTACTCTCAAAGTTAATTATGGTATGGAGCTGATGGTAGTAGATTCAGTACTACCGTTTACACTGAGTAAATAGTTTTTGTGAATTTCAGGTAGCTCCTCCTTTACCAGCTAGGAGATAGATTATGCTACAGCTTTTAAAGTGCTAGTTGCAAGATTTAGGGATTTCTGAGATGTAGCAGTAGCAAAATAAATATTGTAATGTTTTTACTTCATTTCCCTTTTTTAACAAATAGTAACCCAATTGACTTTTGTAGATCATTTTTATATAATTACATGATAAAGCACCTGATAAAATCCATGGTTCAAGTTTAAAGTTTTAAAAATTAGTTTTAAGTGTAAATATTAATGAAAGCAATTGACTTGGTAGCTTTGGGGATTTCAGCTGTTCATTGGTAGCACAGGGTATAGTGCAGACAGTTGCAATGCAAGTTTCCTGATAAATGTGCCTATTTCTTTAAGGTGTAGGGCCCCCCGTCTGTAGATATAAAGTTATTTCAGTCTTAGTCACTATAGAGTATTTGATTTCTGTGTGCAGATTGCTAGCAGGGGAACTGGACTGAAATTACAAACTTGTTTACCATAAACTACCATCTTTCAGAGGATAGCAGTTTTCAGTCAGTATCATCTTGGGCCAGATGCAAACCACTGACATTAAACAGATCTCTGTTTCAACTTGAAAGTTTTGACACTGGCTTGATTTCAGGTACAGCACTTGTCCCTGAATCCCCCTGCCAATTTTTTGTTGTCTTACAACTGCAATTTAAGTTTTTTTTTTTTTTTTTTTAAATAAGTGTGTTCTCCATTTCTGCTGTGTGAAAAAAAGATGAAAAAGGGGACTGTACAAACATTGTGGTCAAATACACATATAGGGAGAAGCTGTTTCTGAACCTAACACAGTGGACTAATTAGCAAATATCTCTGGTCTCAAAAACTGAAACCTTTGCCCAAGTTTAAACATCAAACGTGTAGGCACTTATTGAAGACTGTTGGACATACTTTCTTCTCTTCCTTTTAGTCTGTTCTTTCTTTTATGCAGATTCCCAATTTTTCCTATTTATGTACAGCTTGCAACCTTACAAATATGCCCCTCACACACACACCCTGCCGGGGATATTGGTTGGCCGTGAGCACGGGCGTGTACTTGTCGCGTTTCACCCGTCCCTAATGCCTATCCCTTCTGTGGCGTGAGGGAGACCCTCGTGCACGTTTATCTGGAGTGCGGTAGGTTACAGCTCCTATTCCGGCTCCTCAATCTTTTATTACGTTTTTGGCTGTACTTCTCTCCCCCATCTTCTCATTTACGCACACCCTATCCGTGGCCACACGAAATCGTGGGGCCTCCTCGTCAGCCTTCTCCTGGCTATGGCCAAAGTGGCCATCTATAACACCAGGGAGAGAAGGTTGGGTTCTTTGAGACTGGGGGGCCTATTTCCAGTCCTCCCTCCATTCATGCATCTGGGCGGAGTTCCTCTGGGCGGCATCTGCTGGCTCCCTTGACCCCTTCAAGGACCAGTGGGCGCTGTCTGGGGTTCTCTGCTCCGTGTCCCCTTTAGGTTCTCTCTTTTTGACCTTTGACCTTCACACATGCCCTTGTTTTCTTTTTTGTTGTCCCCCGTAATCAGTTGAGTTCCTGGGCTCAGTGGATCCTCCCCAAAGGCTGGGGGAGGGTCTTTTAGCCGTGGGTGGGCTTACACCCGCCCACTTCCCCTGGAATTTTCAATAGGACACACACAATTTCCTCACTGGCTTTGCCAGTAACAATACTGGTACGGCACCAAGGAAACATCTTATTTTTATTGTGGTAGTGCTCTAGGGCCCTGGTCAGAATTGGGGTACTGTTGAGGTAGATTCTGTACAAAGACAAAAAATTCTGTTTCCATGAAGTGTTTACTTTCCCATTTAAAATAATATGCAAAAATAAAATAATTGAAGCGTAACATCCCTGCCCCTCAAATTAATGTCATTCTGAGTTGCAGGTTTGGAACAGCATTTCCAGTGTATAGCTTATTTAATATAGGGAATACTATAGTAACATTTACTTGCAAAAGCAAATGTAAAGACTTCACAGGATGCCACTGTATATTGCTATGTGTAAATCTCACTTCATCCACCATTAATCCCCTTGTAAGATTAAAATCAGCAGTACCATACGGCAATTTAGGTCAAGAAACTAATTTCTTTTCCAGTTGCAACTACAGATGTAACTTTTATGTGGGCAGAATGTAATTAGCCAAATCAAGCTTATTTATTTTTAAATTGTCACTGATGTTAAGGATTAGGGTGAGATGCGAAACAATAACCAGAAGCAATCTGATAAAATATAAAACAGTCTCCCATCAAAGTAATGGCCTGGCCCAACCTTGTTTACCTAGTACATCTTGGCCGAAAGTTGTATAGATACAGATGGTTGAAAAGTTACCTTATCTTTGCAATGATAATTACATCAGAAAGTGAAAAGATGTTGGACCAGATTCAGTTCTGGAAATTAAATGGCATGGCATCTATTTGTGTCAGGGCTGAATTTGACCCAATACTATTGAAATAGGAACATGTTTGGGGAGTGTAGGGAAAGGAAGTTGGTCTGCTACTACAAGAAAATAAATGCTAAGAAAGCTGAAGTTTTATTTTCAAGTAAGATATTGATCCTGTCATAACAGGTAAAAAATAATTGTAATAGCATAACATATATATCAGTTATCTGTAATTTCACATTAAACCATTCTTGTATGATGATCACTTAGTTGTAAAAATTAATTTGTGACTCTCTCATGGCATGTTCTTAATGGGAGTTTGTTTAATGTCTTCGAGGAAAATTGCCATTAAAAAAAAAATAGCTATTGGAATTATTCACTATAGTGATTTTTGGAAATTCAGGTATCTTAGGCCTTGATCTGCAGTTTGTTCCGTATTGATAGATTCTTGCCCTCACCTGGAGCCACAGCGAGCTTCTGCTTGACACTAAGTTCTGTCAACACATGAATGGCGCTATAGGAAATAATCTTGAACATTTTAGTTTGTTACAATGTTAGCTATGGCAGTGACGAAAATAGCTTTTCTCTTGTGTTATCTAGTTTAATATAGTCATTGGTAATATAGTTATTGCAATCATTTGTGGTTTTGTGTCTGGAAATTTTGGTGATCCATAGAACACCTAAAAAGCTAATGCAACCCTTATAAAATGGTTGCAGTGACTTATTGTTTTCTACCATGGAATTTATTACATAAAACTACTCCCACTTCGTGCTCATAGAAAACCACTAAAACTTTTCAATAGGATATTTCCTCTTTTTTGTAAATTTGGCATGAAGGAAGAAATCCAGCTGATAAGTTCTGACTGTTCAAAAGTTTTGTATGACTGCTTGGGTCACCAATGATTCACTGGTTAATTGTTTGAAAATAGCGTATGAAAGCAGTAAAAACACTTCACAAAGTAACTATATTGAATATCTGTGCTTCTCAAGTGGTTTAAAACCTTTTGACTTTGTGCTTCATAGAGTGCTTGAAGCATAGAGTTAACTTGTATTATGGCACACTTCATTCTGTTTTATGTTGTATTCTATTTGTCTTACTGCTATGCATTTCTGAATAACTCATTTGATTGTTTCTGTAGCAGAACCAGTTCACTGTAATTACTTTTGAATAGCTATGTTCTTAATTGTTATAAAGTGGGTTTTGTGTTTCTCATGCAAGTGAGCAGTTTATAAAAGTAATTTCTTAAAAACTATATTGTGCTCGAGCAATATTGAGTTTTCTGGCTGTATTTAGTAAATGAGCAATCTGATTAGCTTGTACTTGTTCCACTGGTATAACTAATACAAGACACTTCTATTGGCATGAACCCTTGAGTTCATTGGGTGTTAGAACAACTTAGCTTTAGTTCATGGTTTTAAACTCCAGAGTTATCAGGGGACATCACCTTGACAGTTTCCCAACCTTAAAGGGATTTAAAATATTCCCACGATTTACCTATTCTCAGGTACAGGTTTCAGTTCTTCAACATATAGTTTTGTGTGCTGTTGTTTTTGTTGACTTCTGATTTGTGACTCTGATACAGTAGGCAGGGTGGATAAAAATCGATAGTTCTTAAAATATCAAAAATCTGATTTTTTAATTTAAATAGGATTTTTTTGTTTAAATTATATACAGGTTTAGTTTTTGAATATAAACAGTTGAAAACTAAATTTGAAATTGGCAAGATATGTTAAAGCCTAATCTCTCTCTAAT